TTATAGCAGCTGTAGGCATAATTGCCAAAACTTACAAGCAACCAAAATACGTTTTAGTCGTCTAATGGATAAACTGTGGAATATTATTCAGCACTAAAAAGCAATGAGCTGTCCAGTCATGCAAAGACACGGAGGGAACGTACATGCATATGCCTACGTGAAAGAGGTCAATCTGAAAAGGCTACATACTGTGTGATTCCAACTATAGGACATTCTAGAAAAGACAACACTATGGAGACAGTCAATACATCAGTGGTTGCCAATGGTTGGGGGTGGGGGAGGGAGCGGTGAATAGGCAGAACACAGAGGATTTTAGGGCAGTGACACTATTTGTACGGCACTATGACAGTGGATACATTTGCTCAAACCCTTAGAATATACAACACCAAGAGCAAACCCTCATGTACACGATGGACTTTGGGTGACAATGATCTGTGAATGGAGGTACAGCAGTTGTAACACATTTATCATTCTGGTGGGGGGTTTGATGGTAGGGAAGGCTATGCATGTGTAGGGAGGCTATGGAAAATCTTTGTACCTTTCTCTCCATTTTGCTGTGAACCTAAAACTGCTCTAAAAAAGTAAAAATGCCCTGTTTCAATTTGTTACACAAGTGTGTACACTGCCCCAAATTCCACTTTAAATGAGTAGATTGTCTTGGGTGTAACTTTATTATATGTTTATAAAGTTGGTTCTAACAGAGATATAAGACTGGGCTGGGTGTTGTCTACAGAACAAAGGATAGAAACAGAGACCGCACCAGGAGGATGTCCCAGTAGGTGAGAGGTAAAGGTCATTTGGACTTTGCCTGTGGACGTGGAGAGAGCATATTTAGAGGCAAAATCAACAAGACTCGGTGACTGGTTGAGCGACAAAGGTGTCTGACCTGAGCAATGGGGCAGGGAATGGTGAGTGGGCTATACTCTGAGCTGGGGAGCCAAAGGGAAGAGGCAGGCTTGGTGGACTCTCCATCTCCGGGGAGAGATTGATGCCATCATTCTAAATGCAAGACTGCCTTTTGTCTCAGGGGAAACTGAGGCAAGGGGCTCATTCACAGTATATGATACTGGTAGAGCCAGAACCACCGAAGTGCTCCGGACTCTCATCGGCCGACAGCCCCTTTGGATGGAGGCAAGCTCCCTCCTTCTCCGTCTTTTGTCATCCCAGATGGATAAGCAGGCAGCTGACCTTTCTGAGTCAATTGGCAAATTCCAACAGCATCCTCTCCTGAGACTCTCTGGTCTCCAATGGGCAAGATCTAAACACCAAGCTTCAGTTGGATCAGAGAGAAGGGGAGTGAAATCCTAACACTTAGAAAGCCAGGGAAAAGAATGCCAAGGCCCAGGTACCTACTCTAAGAAATAAAAAGCATATGTTGAGCCTCCAGCAAAATCCACTTCTACAAATAACACCACCGCCTTGGGGAACAGCAGAGACATTTGACCAGGCGGCAGCTGGGCGAGGATGCTATTTAAAGACTCGGCTTTTGCAGCCCAAGGACGCTGGGCTTATGATCTGATTGGAAGGCAGAGAGGAGACAGCAAAGACGGAGAACAGAACCAGATTTGGGGAAAACACCACCAGGTGGTTGGCTGCTGATGTGACCCCTGAATATGTTAAATGAACTCATTTTAATCAAATTCTGTCTATTCATGTCTGAGTAAATGAAATGTGTTAATTCATGGAAAGCACTCAGCACAGCATCCAGCACACAGTGCTCACTTGGGGGAAACTGTCATTATTATCATTATTATCTGTCCATCTCCCTATCTGAGTATATCTGCCCAGAGATGGAGAAATGCTCCCCTATAATGCAATGTCACCGCCAAGTGGTATAATTGATAGTGATTCTGCTTTTAACTCTCTTGTGTGTGTGTTTTTGTTGTTGTTGTTGTTTTTGTTTTTGGTAATCCAGGAATTGTTCACAGTGAACCTATATATTTTGTAATTAAGTCATTATTCTGGGGTAAAAAAATTAAGGCTCTAGAGTCAGACTTCCTAGTTTTAAACCCCAATTCCACTGCTTAGCAGCTGTGTTACCTAGAGCAAATTATTTTTTTTCTCTGAGTCCGTTTCCTCCTGCCTAGAAGGCGATAAGAGTGTGATGTGTGACCCACCTTACTGGGTGGTTATGAGCATTAGATGAGATCATCCAGGTAAAGATCTTGGCTTGGTGCCCGGCAGAGAGTAACGAGGGGTCAGTGATGGCTTGTGAGTAGCTGTAGACGTGGTAGTGGCTGTGTTGCTTCCTACCAGGGCAGGGACCATGTCCTGTTCACCCCAGGATTCTTGGCATGTAACAGTCACTTCAGAAATGGTAGGTTAGTTGGAGCCACCTCAGTCACTGTCTTGGGAACATTTTTCTTTCAAGGGTGAGAAAAAAGGGTGAAAAGTCCCCAGTAACTTCCCCCTCAAGGTCAAGGATTGGGTCTTTCTGGCGATTAGTTAGAAGCAATCGTTAATTCTCTAAAAACCTTGAAGAGATCCCAAGAGATTAGGTTCTCAGAGGGTCCAGCCAGAAGCCAGGGCACTTGCTCTCCGTGACCCTGTGCTGTTCTTCATGCACTGTGGTGCAGGCATCCCCATGGGAGTTCCTGGTAATGCAAAACCACAAGTAAACAATGATGGAGAAACTGCACCCCTTGACCCATTGGCTATGTGGGGGGTGCATTGAGGGATGGTGTTCTTTTGTTGTTGTTGTTGTTGTTAATCTTCCCTGGAGGATATTTTTCCATTGATCTTTTGGAGAGTGTGGAAGAGAGAGACCAAGAGAAACATTGATGTGAAAGAAACACATCGATTGGTTGCCTCCTGCACATGTCCCCAAAAGGGCCCAGGCCGGAGAGGAACCTGCAACCAAGGTACGTGCCCTTGACCAGAATCGAACCTGGGACCCTTTGGTCCACAGGCCAATGCTCTATCCACTGAGCCAAACCAGCAAGAGCAGGGACGGCATTCTTTATGTCTAAAACAACCCTTCAGAAGGAGGGACTCCTTCCAATGTTCCCAAATGCTCCACGGCAAATGTATTTTTGTTTTAGAATATGAAATAAAATGAGAAATAAAAACTTTAAAAAAACCTACACTTTGCAGACACGGTCCTGGGAATTCAGTTTAGGCACAGTGGCTACATTTCTCCCACTTTCTCCTCGAATCCCGATAGGATGCAGAATTTGGGTAAGTGGAAGAGGGAAGACAGATTGTACCCGCAAAGTTATTCCTGTTGTTTGTGACTGATAAGCCTCAAGTCATCCACATTCACATACAGTACGTTGGAATAATACTGTGTTGTTGTTTTTAAAAAATATATTTTATTGATTTTTTTTTTTTTTTTTTTTTTTTAGAGAGAGGAAGGGAGAGGGATAGAGAGTTAGAAACATCGATGAGAGAGAAACATAGATTCAGCTGCCTCCTGCACACCCCCCACTGGGGATGTGCCCACAACCAAGGAACATGCCCTTGACCAGAATCGAACCTGGGACCCTTCAGTCCGCAGGCCGACGCTCTATCCACTCAGCCAAACTGGTTAGGGCTATACTGTGTTTTTTTAATCTATTCATTTGACCAGTATTTCTTGAGCACCTACTCTGTGCCAAGAAACATTGTAGGTGTTTGTTTGCTAAATCTGGCAACCCTATATTGAGGGTTCTTACTAAAGGAGAATGCAACGATAGTGGAAATAAATGATTAGGAGATTCAACAGCTGTGTTGTGGCTCGAGTGACTACAAAAGTGACCGAATGTCAGCTACATTAAATCTGACTCTGAACGAGACAGTGATGTGTGAGTATAACAGTGAAAGTGACCAATTGGACAGTAACAAGGACAGCTGTGTAGCGGTGGGGGCTTGTTAAATATTGCCCTGTGTGGCAGTGAAAGTAGGCGAGTGGCAGTGACAGTGAAGACAACTGAAAGGGTGACTGCTGGGCACAGAGTCCAGGTGCTAACGTTGTACAGAATAGCTTGACGTTTGTGGTCATTGACAGTGTTTGCATATCAGACAGTGACAGTAAAAATGAGGGGCCACTGACAATGTGAATGACAGTTCTGCCCAGTGGATTGAACTTGTGATTAAAAACGGTGATGGAGTGGGAGTCAGTCTGACAATGACCGAATATTGACACTGTGGAGGCAACAGCTGTAACACACAGGGAGCCCGGCATTGTACTGAGACACCTGGATTTGGGCAGCATGACTGGCGGTGACAGAAAAAGTGGCTGCGTGTCAGAGGGACAGCGCGCAGCGCGGTGGGCGCACGCGGCCCTGACCCGATGAGTCTGAGGCTGTCTGCATCCGACTTCATCTGCCTGGATCTCAGGCTGTCTGCATCCGACTTCATCTGCCTGGGTCTGAGGCTGTCTGCATCCGACTTCATTTGCTTGGGTCTGAGGCTTGTCTGCATCCGACTTCATCTGCCTGGCTGTGTGAGGTTGGCAAGAGGAGCGTCAACGTGGAACGTATGGTGCGCGACAAAGTGCGGGAGACGGGAATTTAGTAAACAAACTGCCGTAAACACGTTTTCTCCAAAACCCTAAATACTAAAATTGGGAGTAGAGGCGGGATAAAAAAATGCCTTCAAGATACCATTGGTCGATGCGGGCCTATTAGCCAATCATGTCTGAGCGGTGTCAAGCCTCTCCACCAATGAGAATACGCCCGGGGACAAGCCTCAGGTCCCGTCTCCGCCTGGCACGTGAACGTGATGTTTTGGAAAACGGAGAGAAATGTTTTGTGTATACCTTTCCGCCATTCTCTGAAATAAGACCCTAACCCCAGGGCTGCCTCGGCGAGGGACGGTGGGACCCAGTTAGAACTTTCCTAAAAGTGTGCGGACAGGAGCGAAGACGAGCGGCGAGGCCAGCACCAGACTGGCCCAGGGTCCTGGCGTTGGTGGAGAGCGCATGCGTGACGCAGGCCCCGCCCCGGAGGCCCGCCCCCAGCACGTGACCGTGGCGCGCGGGGCAGGCCGGGCCTCCCCCTCCTCCCTGATATCCCTTCCTCGCCAGCCTCAAGATGGCCGCCTTGTGGCGTTTCTGGCGCTGTTGAATGGAGAAATCTTTATTGTTCCCTTCGGGCAGGAGTGTTCGTGTCCTCCATGGCGCTGTCAATAAAGAACGGCAGTTTGAATCGGTGCTGAACAGGTAACCATAGAAACGGGGCGAGGACTCAGCGTGGAGACCCCTTTTGTAGCTGAGGCTCGAGAGGCGCCCCAAATGAAGGGGTCACAGAGACCCTTCCGCGTGTCGAACTCCGCGGGCTCTGCCCAGTCCCAGCCGCCCCCCGCCTCCCCGCCGTCCCGGGACGCGGACCCCCAGGGGCGGCCCACACCCGGAGCGCAGGCTCGGCTCTCATCTCCGGCGGAGAAAGGCGGCGGGTCCCGGCTGGGCGCCCCCCCGCGGGGGCCTTCTCTCCCCCGAGCCGGCCCTAGCCCCGCACCCCTGCCCCTCGGCGGATCGCGGCCTCGCGCTGCCGCTGCCGAGCTTCTCGGTCCCTTCCCTCCCCCTCCCCTCCTTCGCCAGGCGCGGGCCATCTGGCCTAGGGCCAAATCCGTCCCCCTACGCCCCCCTCCCGAAACTAAGAATGGATTTTACATTTTTAAATGGCTGGGGGGCGGGGGAGAGGATATTTCATATGAGTTGTGACAGTTATATGAAATCAAATTTCGGAGCCCATAAAGGGAGTTTCGTTGGCACACAGCCATGTTCATTGTTTATGTGTTGTCTATGGCTGCTTTCCTGCTGCAGGAGCGGAGCTGGGAGAGTCCCATGTTGCATGACATCGATCGCTTGGCCCACAAAGCGGAGGATATCTGTCTGGCCCTTCACAGAAGGAGTGCCGACCCCTACCCTAGACTCCTACCCTAGACCCCTACTCTAGACACAAATAGACTGGGTCCATGTTGTCCAGCGATTTCTCGGGTCACTTCATACCTCATGAGAAACTCCCTACACCGTCCCTTGCACCTAGAGCTGTTTGACAAAACACTATGACTTCCATTCTCTCTTCTGGTCTTAATGTTGTATTATTCAGAGTGGGAATTGTTTCCCCTACTTTAAATAACAATAATACCATCCACCCGGCTCCTACCCGAAGTCAGGTGGTTTATTTACATTCATACACAGCATTTTTGTGCTAACGACACTTTATAAGCAAGTGTCCATGTTTCCACTTACGAGGAGGAATCTTAGTTTCTGAGTGGTTGAGCTGTTTAAGGTGGTCCTAGATCTCAGGTTGTATAGGTCATGCCTGGAAGCCCCTTGCCTGGTGAGCCATGCCGTACTGCTCAGAATTTCTTCTTTCAACTCTCTCCTTCTGGGGCTATTGGTTCCCCCTTGGAATTGTATCCAAATCTTTTGTGTGGTTTATGTAGATTTAATTACAACCCCAAAGTGAAATATCTCTCTACTTGGCTAAATCTTCAAACTTCTGCCACACTCCACTTTCTAGTTTAGATGCCTTTCATATATGGCAGTAGTTCCCAAACCTAGCTATTCATCACTAATTTGCTTATTTATTTATTTGTTTATTTATTTAATACATTTTTATTGATTTCAGAGAGGAAGGGAGAGGGAAAATGATGAGAGAGAATCATTGATCTACTGCCTCCTGCACATCCCACCCCAGAGATGGAGCCCGCAATCCTGGCATATTCATCACTAATTTAACAAATGATTTCAGAATGTTGTTTGCATGCATGAATTCATAAATCGTTTGTATTTGTTGACCACCTACTATGTACTAGGGATGATCCAAATCCTTGGAAATACAGCGGTGAAAGGATCAATGTGAACTTTGTCCTTCCACAGAATTTAAATTATGAGGGGCTTGGACAAATGGTACACAAGTAAACAACGATAATTTCAAATACAGCTGTCAGAGCATCGTAATAACAGATGCGTAGTTAATATTAATTCCTGTGTTGCCCAGAGCTCTTTGAGCCTGCTTTACACTATGTGCTTGATTTGCATGGATTATCTTTTAATCTTTACACCAACATTATGACATAGGTGTATTAATACTACCATTTTAAAGATAAAGACACTGAGACTCAGAAGAGATTTACAAGTTACATAGCTAATGCGTAAGGGACTGGGATCTGAACCTGAACTGATCACACTCACCACCCTGTATTAGTCCATCTTTTCCACCAATGTGGGAGGTCCTCAAGGGCAGTCTTTTGTATCAGCTGCTAGCCAGTGCCCACAAGCAGTCATCTGGCAAATATTAAATAAACAAATCCAGGCTGTTCATTGAGCAAACATTTGAGTGCCTGCTTTATACCAGACACCATTGTGCTAGACCAGCCGTGGGCAAACTACGGCCCGTTTGAAATGAATAAAACTAAAAAAAAAAAGACCGTACCCTTTTATGTAATGATGTTTACTTTGAATTTATATTAGTTCACACAAACACTCCATCCATGCTTTTGTTCCGGCCCTCCGGTCCAGTTTAAGAACCCATTGTGGCCCTCGAGTCAAAAAGTTTGCCCACCCCTGTGCTAGACCCTGTGAATACCAGAGTAAGCAAGATGGACCTAAAACAGTGTCTGAGACAGTCAAGAAATAACAGAGTTATTCCAAATTGAGGCAACTGCTAAAAGGAAAGCAGTGCTAACCTGAGAGATCCTTTTTACCAAGAGGGCCTTGGAAAAGTTTAATCTGAAACGTTGAGTGACAAGGATCCAGTCCAGCGAGAAGGGAAAAGGGAGAGAAGTGGGAAGGCAGAACTTTTCAGCAGGTTTAAAGCCTGTGAGCTGACAAGAACTTGGGGTGCTGCAGAACGGAAAGAAATGAGTGATTGTGCTGTGGGTCTCAGACGTGTCTGGAGTCCCTGGCCCTGAACATAGCTTTGCTGCTGATAGAGCTGCAGGCCAGTGGGCCAGTTACAGATTAGTTGTCTGATCTGCCAAATGTGGATAATGGTACCTCCTTAAAGAGTTATTGTGTGGATTCAGTTAGAGAACATGTAAAAATAGGTTCTGAGTTTTCTTGTTGTTATATATGTTGCCAAATTCCAATCAGAGGAAACTAATGAAGTTTGGCCCCAAATGGAAACTTATGTAAAATGGTAAATAATTACAAAAATCCAGAAGAATGTTATAGACAAAATTGAAGGGGGGTGTGTATGTGTTTCTGTCTTTTGGGGGAAGAGGAACAAATCTTCTTTTTTCTTAATGTTTCTCTTAAGAGTTGAACTTTTCCAACTGGGATGTAATTTTTTTCAACCTAATTATACAAATGTCTATTTAGAGCATTTTTCATCATTGTAGTGTTTTAAGCTCGAAACTGTTTGTTCCTCCATTGCACACATGAAAGAGGCATGCTAACAAAATGATAGGCTTCAGACTCTAGTTGGAGGTCATTTCAAAATTTGTTTGCAAATGATTTGGGTTTCCTCTAAAAGTTTTCAAAATAATGTTGCACTATTTTTAATGCCCTGCTTTAAATACGTTTAGGGGACTTTTTAAATAGGTAAAAATAATATGATGTTTGGGCTCATGAACACGGAAAATTACAGAGACAGTAATAAATCGAGTAAACCATATAAGATCAGCAATGTCAAGGTTTGCTTTAAACTGTATCCAGTAACCAGATGGCACTTGTCATCAGAAGATATAATCCAGCCCAGCAAATGGAGCACGGAACCGGACAGAGAGTGGCATGTTAATGCAGTGTTAAACAACAAGCCCCGAATTAAATGGCTATTTTAGGGTTGGGTGGGACCTTCACATTTAAAGTATTGCAGTTTCACTCTGTGATTTGGGTCTGTTGGGTTCCAGTAAAGAGTAGGTGGTAACGCTGGCTTTGAAGGATAATATAAAACTGCAGGGAGAGCCAGGGCATACTGATGTGTTTTTCAATCTATTTTATTTCGGTTCAAAGCATCATTACAGACAGGCAGCGCAGGAAAAAGAGCCACACTCTGACAATGCTCAGCTGCTTTAGGAGATTGAGGAAGACTGAGGATAACTAAAATGTGGCTTGTTTTCTTGGACTACCTGTCTGCAACGAGGCTTTGAACTGAAATAAAATAGATTGAAAAACAAATTGGTATGCCCTGTTGCCTCATACTGAGTATTTACATTACCTTTTGAAGTTCTGCCTGTGCCAGCGCCCTGGGGGCAGGCGGCGACCCCTCAGCCCCTTTCAGCTCTTCCAGAGAGTGAGCGCTTTGATTTTTACAAGGGCATTGGATTGGGATATAGGGTTTCTGGATCTCCAATAGCCTGCCTTCTAAAGTCATCATCTTGATAACGTGGAAAAAGCAAGCTATAACCACAGAGAGGAAAAATTAAATAAGATCGTTTAAATTCAAGGTGAGATTGTCACTTTTTAAACATCATGCAGGGTGTGCAGTGTTTTATTTGCAGAGTATGCAGTTTTGAGATTCCTGCAGGCCTCAAGGGAGAGAAGGGAAAGGAAAGAAAGCTAATTTACCTTACACTTCCCTAATGTTGTTATCCTCCAGATCATGCTGTCAAGTCCTCAAAATCATGACATCAAGTATTTCATTTCCTTAGATGAAGTAAATGTGCTAAAGCAAGGATTGTTAATCTGGTGTGAATGGCCCAGCTGCAAGGGATCCATGAACCCTTTGAATTTGCCTGCAAGTTTGTGTGAATGTTGTTTTTCTGGGGAAAGAGCCCATTACATTAATCAGATCTCAGTCCTTGACCCCTCAAAGGGTGCAGAGCCAACAATGAAATGTCACATCACCAAATGAAAGTAGTGATGAGACTCCCCCTGGAAACAGTTACTTTCTACAGTTGTATGGCCTTGATCTCAGAGTTTTGAAATTATCTTTCCAGCCTTGTTTCCTGCCTCAAGCAGTCAAGCATAGTTGAATGGTCTTTGTAATAGAGATGTTTACTCAATGAGGTGCTCCAGAAATCCCTTATAGATCCTTGTTTGTCCTTATTTTACATGAGACTGGTGAAATGGGGACATACGTGTATTGTCTTGGCAACCTTGTTAGCAGATACTGAATTTGTTTCTTCAGACAAGTGAAAGGAAGAGCAGTAGCAGCCTAATTGTTTGGCTCTGGGCATCAACTTCTTACCGATGGATTCAGTTCTTCACAGTTAGGAGATGAGGGTTAGGAGGGAAATGGGGAGGAGGAGAGGGATAGAATCTGGGAGGCA